AGATAAGGAAGGAGTGAACTGGGTTTACAGGGCTAATGAGTTCTGTATGTCTGTAGATGTTAAACACAGTTAGTTTTTAACATGTCCACTGTATTATATATTTGTGATATAGTCTACTTTTGTGCAAGTGGGTGTGTGTTTCACCGTAACGTGGCAGCAGATGCAGAATCAGTCTTCCCCAAAAAGGAGAACTGTGAGCAGTCTGTCATTTGGGCCGGGGGGTTTGAAAAACCCCATTGTTTGTGTCCTGTCCCACAGAGGAGTCCTCACCTTGGCTGTTAATCACAGACACAACTGTCTGTGTTTTTAATGACAGCTATTTGTTACAAGCTTTTTTCTGATATTGCTCATGCACGCATTAAAAACGAGTGTGTACTCTGTGCTGAAAATGTATTTTCTGTCTATTCATAGGGCTGAAATGACGATCGTAAGAGGGGAAAATTGGAAACTGCACTGAGATCCAGGAAGAGTCTGGGAAGGTAAATTTGTGTGACTCATTTGCTCACGTATGAATATTGTAAATAAATGTTCATCATTTGACATGAACACAAAAGGTATTCATCCCTCCAAGCATTCAAGTCTTCACATCTTTCTCACTGTAAATCAATTTACAAAAGTCTGAAACTAAAACCAAAGTTTTATGTGATAGTTAGACTCATCAAGGCAAAATCTAAAGTGAACATGACTGAAAAGTTCCAAAACTATAGGCTCTATCTTACCTGTCTAAAAATGTTAAATGAAAGTTATCATCTGTATTGCAGTGATCTTAAGTTTGTTATGATGGGAAAAGACAGGAGTGAAGGAGGTTTAAACAACTTTTGAACCCTTGTAAGTTGATTTGACAGTTTAACCATTTAGCTGCAATTTGAAAGCAGCAGAATAATATTATTTTGTGTTGTACATTTTGTACAAATGTTTTACATTTTGTGACTTAAAGAAAACCTGTTAAAGGACCTCTGCTCTGAAAGAAGAGTAAACCTAACTGCAATGTAGTCCCATCATCATTACATACAACAGCTGGGTAGATCTTTACCCTGGAGTATTGATTATTGCTCCTATATTTGTACAAATACCAATGAGAAGAGTTTATCTGACAGTGTTTTTTACAGCGTGTAGCATTGTCAGCATCTCTGCATTAAAGCTGCTGGTTGCTTAGACCAGTTTATTAGGTACACGCAAGTAAACCTAATTAAGTTACCTGCAATTAAATCTCCTTACATGAATTGAATTGAAACTATTACAGTGGTGTTGATTCAACAATTTGAAGATCGTAAATGGTCCTGGTGATTCCATTGTTTAGCCAAACGTCATTCCTATAATCAGTGTGGACAAAATAAAAGAAACACCTGTCATTATAATTCAACCTCAGCACAAACTATGTTCTGTAAAATATTATAAAGTTGAATCAACTCCTCCACACCCGTTTCAACAAGAACTGAACATTGACGCCTAAATGAAAGGGGATTTACTGCAGGACTGTTGTATTAGACAGCAATAGTTACAGTTAGTTAACTGGCACCTTTAAATATGATTATTTTGATGGCAAAGAAATTTAAATATCTTGTGCCCCCACCACCAAATGTTTGTTCAGTCAGAAAAATAAAAACCTTTAATTTGAAAGATATATTTATGAAATTTAGATGAGATGAGCTTGATGACAGGTTTTTCTGTGTGACGACTTTGAAAACTGCTTCAGTTAAATCATGTCCAGACGGCCATCATATTTAAGACAGATTATGTTCACAGACTAAAATACAGTTTTAATTTAAAGACAAATCAGACAACAGAAGAGAGAGAGAGAGTGTGTGTGTGTGTGTGTGTGTGTGTGTGTGTGTGTGTGTGTGTGTGTGTGTGTGTGTGTGTGT